AGATTTGGAGATTTTAAGATATCATAAAACACATTGTTGGGGCCGGGTGCTCATGCCTGTAATCCCAGCACTTTGAGAGGCTGAGGTGGATGGATCACCTGAGGTCAGGAGTTCGAGACCTGCCTGACCAACATAGTGAAACCCCATCTCTACTAAAAATACAAAAAATTAGTCAGGCGTGGTGGCAGGCACCTGTAATCCCAGCTACTCAGGAGGCTGAGGCGGGAGAATCACTTGAACCCAGGAGGCAGAGATTGCAATGAGCCAAGATCATGCCACTGCACTCCAGCCTGGGCAATTTAAGAGCGAGACTCTGTCTCAAAAAAAAAAACCACATTGTTGGGAAGGCTGCAATGAAATGGTCATTCACAGATTTAAACACACTGCTGAGGTGACCTGATCCAACCTCAATGTATTAGTTTGATAAGGCTACGGTAACGAAGTGCCACAGAATGGGTGGCTTAACAGGAAGTTATCATCTCATAGTTCTGGAGGCTAACTTCCAAAATCAAGTGTCAGCAGGGCTGGTGCCTTCTGAGGGCTGTGAGGGAGGGAGCTGTTCCAGGCCTCTCCTTTGCTTGTACGGTGTCTTCTTCCTGTGTCTCTTCACATCATCTTCTCTCTGGGAATCTCTGTGTCCAAATTTCTCCTTTTTATAAGGACACCAGTCAGATTGGATTAGGGTCCACCCAAATTACTCCCATTTTAACTTGTGTGATGGTTAATACTGAGCGTCAACTTGATTGGACTGAAGGATGCAAAGTATTGTTCCTGGGTGTGTCTGTGAGAGTGTTGCCAAAGGAGGTTAACATTTGAGTCACTGCACTGGGAAAGACAGACCCACTCTCAAGGTGGGTGGGCCCAATCTAATCAGCTCCCAATCTAATCTGCCTGCCAGAATAAGTGCAGGCAGAAGAACGTGAAAAGACTAGACTGTTGGCAGGGCATCGTGGGTGGTAATCCCAGAATTTTGGGAGGCCGAGGTGGACGGATCACTTAAGGTCAGGAGTTCAAGACAGACTAATCTGGCCAACATGATGAAGCCCCATTTCTACTAAATATACAAAAAAATTAGCCAGGTGTGGTGGCACATGCCTATAATCCCAGCTACTAGGGAGGCTGAGCCATGAACATCATTTGAACCCAAAGGTGGAGGTTGCAATGAGCTGAGATAGTACCACTGCACTCTAGCCTGGGCAACACAGAAAGACACCATTTCAAAAAAAAAAGACTAGACTGGCTTAGTCTCCCAGCCTCCATCTTTCTCCCATGCTGGATGCTTCCTGCCCTTGAACATCAGACTCCCAAGTTCATCAGCTTTGGGACTCTTGGACCTTCGACCACAGACCAAAGGCTGCAGTGTCAGCTTCCCTACTTTTGAGGTTTTGGAGCTCAGAATGACTTCTTTGCTCCTCAGCTTGCAGATGGTCTATTGTGGGACCTCGCCTTGTGATCATATGGGTCAGTACTACTTATAAACTCCCATTCATGTGTATATCTACCCTATTCATTCTGTCCCTCTAGAGAACCCTGACTAATGCAACTTGATTACATCTGTAAAGACCTTACCTTCAATTAAGATCACATTCAGGAGTACCAGGGTTTAGGACATCAAGATATGAATTTTAGGGGAGCACAATTCAAGCCATAACACCCAGTCTACATCATAGGGGATGATGCAAAGCTGAACCTAAGTGTCATCAGATAACACTGAAATGCTTTTCTGGCCATGTCACATGGGAATCACCACACACCATTATCCTGGGAAGCAAATGTAGCACTGATACCAGGCTCAACAGCAATAAGTAAAAAACAAGATGGCACTCTCCTTCTGCCAATGGCATTGGCAGCCTTCTCCTGGAGCTCGGATCCTGGTTTCCTGGCTAGTTTCTGGCAGAAGGGATGGATAATGAAGGTGACAGCATGCCCTGGCTCTTCACGTTGAAGGAACTTGCCAAGGGCAGAAGATAGCCTGAGAAAAGTGAAAGCCCAGCCCTTTAAATAAGCAACCCAGCAAGATAGGCTAAATATACCTAAATGCCTTGATCAAACTCCAATATAACTGATAAAATCATTAAATTGGGCATCTCTAAATAAAATATACACCAATCTGCTTTTGCTGAAATATTAAACTGTATTCTCAAGTTCCCAAGAAACTAAATAAACCTGTCAATCATAAACATGTAAAAGCCTTTTTCATATCACATCTCCTAGTTGCAATCCCTTTCCAACATATCAAAGAGGAACCAAAATAGAAAAGACATTATTGAGCAAAATGAGGATATGTTGAATGCAATTTCACTGTCTTAAATCGCCCATGACATATTAACCCAATCATTTAAGTTAATGCATGACCTGATATAGCTATTGAACAGGAAATGATCTCATTTGGTAACATCTGGCCAAAAAGACACAGCTGAAAAAAGGTGTAGTCAACAATTTCCCAATTAGAAACAATTTTCCAGTTAGACCTGGATGAGGTCTGCTGAGCTCCTGAATGTGTTTTTTTTTTGTGTGCCCTTTTTTTTTTTTTTTTTTTTTGAGACAGGGTCTCACTTTGTCACCCAGGATGGAGTGTAGTGGAATGACCTCAGCTCACCGCAGCCTCAACCTCCCAGATTTAAGTGATCGTCCTGCCTCAACCCACCCCAGGTCCATGGGATTGTGGTGGCACATGGGACTACAGGCATGTGCCACCACACCTGGCTCATTTTTGTATTTTCTGTAGAGACAGGGGTTTTGTCATGTTGCCAAGGCTGGTCTTCAATGCCTAACCTCAAGTGATCCGCCTGCCTCGGTCTCCCAAAGCACTGGGATTACAGGCATAAGCCACCACAGCCGGCCTTCCTGCATGTGCTCTTACTAGACAACTACCTAGTTCATTTTCTTTTTTATTTGTAATCTTTAAATACATTACTACAATGAACTCTTAAATTGGGATGACCCGTGTACATAGTAAGTAGTAATAAAACTGAAGTTAATGATTAAGGGTATGTATCTTAAAATTTGTGTTTTTGGCCGGGCGCGGTGGCTCAAGCCTGTAATCCCAGCACTTTGGGAGGTGGAGGCAGGTGGATCACGAGGTCAAGAAATCAAAACCATCCTGGTCAACATGGTGAAACCCCGTCTCTACTACAAATACAAAAAAAAATTAGCTGGGCATGGTGGCGCATGCCTGTAATCCCAGCTACTCAGGAGGCGGAGGCAGGAGAATTGCCTGAACCCAGGAGGCAGAGGTTGCGGTGAGCTGAGATCCCGCCATTGCACTCCAGCCTGGGTAACAAGAGCAAAACTGCATCTCAAAAAAAAATTGTTTTTATTTCCATGAGAATTATAGACAGAATTGCTGGGTTAAATGTGTATTTAATTTTTAAAAGTTTTTTTACCCTCAAGTTCATGGGTGAACTTGATTTTCACTTTTCAGAGATTTTCATCTTTTCTAAATTTCATTAATGAGTATTTTATTAATTTCCTACTCCATTTTGTTTTATGGTTTACTTTTTTTTTGAGATAGAGTCTTACTCTGTCACCCAGACTGGAGTGCAACACTGCAACCTCCACTTCCTGGGTCCAAGGAATTCTCCTGCCTCGTCCTCCCGAGTAGCTCAGATTATAGGCATGTGCCACCACAGCAGGCTTTTTTTCGTATTTTTTGTAGAGAAGGGGTTTCATCATGTTGGCCAGGCTGGTCTTGACTTCAGGTGATCCGCCCACCTCGGCCTCCCAAAGTGCTGGGATTACAGACAAAAGCCACTACACCCAGCCCTTATTTTTTATTTTTTGTGGCCAAGTTTATGATAAATTTTTGTAACTTGTTAATGACCATTTAGAAAATATATATTTTTTCTCTGAAGAATGTATAATTCTGTATATATTTATTAAGACAAATGGGTCAATTGGTTTCTCTATGGTCTCTTATTTTTTGTCTACTAGATCTGTCTAGTTCTGAAACAGGTGTAGTAAAATCCACAAATTTCATTTTTATGTTATCCTTACAACAATCTTCTGATTTATGTGTTTATCTATTATATTATTTGATGCTAATCTTCACATTATTATTATTATTTTGAGACGGAGTCTTGCTCTGTCACCAGGATGGAGTGCAGTGGTGCAATCTCGGCTCACTGCAACCTCCACCTCCTGGGTTCAAGCGATTCTTCTGCCTCAGTCTCCTGAGTAGCTGGGACCACAGGCTCGTGCCACCATACCCAGCTAATTTTTTTATTTTTAGTGGACGGGTTTCACCATGTTGGCCAGGATGGTCTCAATCTCTTGACTCATGATCTGCCCACCTTGGCCTCCCAAAGTGCTGGGATTACAGGTGTGAACCACCACACCCAGCCACATATATTATGATTTTGTAGGTACTGTTCTTCTCCCTTTTTAGTTCAGCTTGTCTCACCCTTTCTAATATTGCCTCTCCTAATTTTTAATTTCTTTATATATCTGTAGTATCACTTTTCCAATTGCTTTAAATATTTATCAATCTAAGTGTGTTTCTTGTAAACAACATATTCACTGGGTTCATTTTTAATCCATTCTTATAGTCTCTGTTTTTTGATAGGAGAATTGGGCTCATTTACACTTAACATAATCACTGATATGCTTCATTTTACTCCTGCTCTCTTGCTTACATTTACTATTAAACTTACTTCATTTTCTTTTTTCCTTTTCTTTGTATATACTGGTAAGATCGAGTTAACAGTTTATTCCCTTGTTTCCTCTTATAATTTCAAAATGATATTATCCTTTCCCACTACATTAGTGGTTATGTTCTTTTTTAACACACATCATCAAACACATATTTTATTACTTTATTCTTATTAATAGTAAGAATATACTGTTTCTCCACCAAGTTACTCTATTCCTTCCCTCCACCCAATAAGGTAATACTTTTAGAATGTTTTTACTTCTTCCTCCCTTTCCTCCAATACCACCTTTTAGGTTTTGCTGAGAAAAAATGCAACTTTTACTCCCAGGCTCTAGTTAAGTGAGTCTCGTTTATCTTAAGAGTCTTTATTTAACACATATAGTACACATTTCCAGTGATTTCATCATCATCCAAGTATATTAATATACACGCCAATGTATATTACAAAGCTTATTGTTCACTCATCATTTTCCCTTTCTACTTTACCTTCTCATTTCTTGAAGTCTCTATTCTCATTAATTTGTTATTTAGTTAGTCCTCTTTTCATTTTCTTCCGATGGGGATATGCAGATGACAGATTCTTGGAATCCTTTCTGCATCTCTTTCACTCTGGCAGGTGAATGATGCTTGGCTAGAAAGAGACTTCTTCAGTTACTTTCCTTTTCTCTTAACAGGTATAGATAGGATTCCACTGTCTGATGCCAGTCGAATTCTTTTCCCATTGTAAATAGCTTCTTTCTGTCTGGAACCTTATATATTTTTCTCCTTAACTTTGAGACTCAGGAATTCTGTCAGAGTATGTTTAGCTATGTGCCTTTTCTTATCAATCCTGTCTGGAATTTAAAGAACACTTTCAACCTGCAAATATAAGGCTTTATTCAGCTCAGGAAATATACTTCTATTAAATCTGGCTTTTCTCTTGTATTCACTCTGGAACTCCAATTAGATCTCTTGGATCTGTCCTCCCTTCTTCCAGCAGTTGTATCCATTTAAGAGTTTAAAAAGGCAGAATAGTGCTTTTCCTGATACTATCAGATCATCACAAATACCAACTCAATTATCTGACTATAACATTTGGTACTAGAAGGCAGCCTAAATAGAAACATAATAAGATACATATAATTTGTACACTGAATAATTCACTCTAATATCAAGTATAACATTTTCACTATGTTTTAAACTGTAAAAGTATAGTTAGAATGAATAATATCAAGTATTTAATAGCACAAAAGAATGATTACAGTCAACAATAATTTAGTGTACATTTTCAAATAACTAAATAAGTGAATTGTTTGTAACACAAAGGATAAATGCTTGAGGGGATGGATATCCCATCTACCCTAATGTGATTATATGCATTGCATGCCTGTATCAAAAATACCTCATGTACTCCATAAATGTATACACCTACTAAGTATCCACAAAATTTTAAAAAGTACATCTATTAAATAGACACACACACACACACACACACACACACACACACACACTTCTTTTTTGCGGGGAAGGAGTTTCGCTCTTGTTGCCCAGGCTGGAGTACAATGGTGCGATCTTGGCTCACCACAACCTCCGCCTCCCAGGTTCAAGCAATTCTCCTGCCTCAGCCTCCCGAGTAGCTGGGATTACAGGTGTGCACCACCATACCAGCTAATTTTGTATATTTAGTAGAGGCAGGGTTTTTCCATGTTGGTCAGGCTGGTGTCAAACTCCCAACCTCAGGCAATCCGCCCGCCTTGGCCTCCCAAAGTGTTGGGATTATAGATGTGAGCCACCGCACCCAGCCAATTATCTGTATTTTTTAATGGCTTTCTAATAGTAATATATGTAGTTTTAAAACAAAAACTGTTCAGACAATGAAGGCAAAATCTCAGTCTCTTACCTCTGACCCCACAGGCCTATCACACAAGATAACTTGCTGTTCATAGTTACTTACAGAATCCTTCAGAAATTCTTTATGTGAAAAAGGGGAAAACTTATTACTGTGGGAGTATTCGTAACTTTCTTCCTCCTGCCTAGAAAAAAAAAAAAGCCAGTATTTGCACTGACTGCTTTCCACTGGCTATATCTCCTCCTTCCATGGTCTTAGTGTGTAGATAAAATAAATGGGAGGGAGGTGTGTTTTATGAGAAGAACCAAGGAAGCTGAGATGAGAGATTTATATCCAACAGGTGCAGAATTATTCATTACAGGCAGAAGAAAACAGAAAGAAAATGGGAGGGGATATAGGTAAGGCCTAGCAGTGGTAGAAATGTCAGGGAGGGTTTTGGTAAAAGGAGGAGAGGATGAAATAAAGAGACAGAGGCTTTGGGGTATATATGGAATATGAGAGTGGGAGACAGAATATGTAGGGAAAACCAACTACAACTTGTGCTACATAAAACACAAATGTTTCCTGTAAGTTCTTTGAGGAATACTGACTTCTGAACAGAAATCCTCTGAAGCTGAATCATAAGGGGCCTAGAATCTATTCTATTCAATCTGTGTGTGGGTTTGCATTTATACATACATATACACACACATATATGTACATAGAGAGATGTATAGTAGTATATCAGTGGATCTATCTACACATATCCTTTCAAAAAACACACTAATGGATCATACTGTGAGTACCCTTTTGTACCTTGCTTCTTTATCCCCTTAAAAGTATAGGCGGTGGCTCACACCCATAATCCCAGCACTTTGGGAGACTGAGGCAGATGGAGCACTTAAGGCCAGGAGTTCAAGACCAGCCTGGCCAACATGGCAGAACCCCATCTCTACTATAAATACAAAAATTAGCCAGAAGTGGTGGCGTGCACCTGTAGTTCCAGCTACTCGGGAGGCTGAGCCCAGGAACAAAAGTTGCAGTGGGCTGTGATCGCACCACTGCACTCCAGCCTGGGTTACAAAGCAAGTCAAAAAGAAAAAGTACAGATTGATTTTTAATCTATTTCCAAAAAAAGATTTGAGTTAGCTTATAACAAAATCACAGAAATATGACCTAAAACTATTAACAGGACTCTAAGGACAGGAACCAAGAAATATAAGGGACAAGGGAGAAACTACATTCAGATATTCTAACTAATGATTCCATGAAGGTAATATAAAATTCATACGGTACTTTAAAAATAGATTCCTATGTAACCCACTGCCAAAAATTATTTTTGAAAGAAAAAATTAATTTTACTTAAGAAAGGACAGAACAATGAAAACAAAATCATAGCCCAGAGCTTAAGACAGTAAGCTCTTCTTATTCTACAACTCAGCAAAGAGATCAGCAGTCTTCAGAGTATCAGCAAAGGGATCAGCAGAGTTGCCTTTGTTTCTAAAAATAGGGAAACGGCAATAATCTGAAATAATGGGTAATTTGTAAGCCTATTTTGTTGGTTTTCATAAATTCAGGTGGATTACATAAATGGGCAACAAGCAATTTCAAACAAAACAGTGAGATCCCGCTGCAGAAAACTGTTTCGGAAAGACCTACGAAACTCCGTTTCTCACGGCCATCTCCTTTCGGCCCCTCCCAGTGACCCTATCCATCTCGTCTCTCCAGTCTGGGCAAGGCAGCAGATTAAAACAGAATAATCTATAAATCTTTCTTCAACGTGGGGCTGTATTGAGTCAGATCCTATCAGTGTGAAGAATGGGGACAACGCAAATAAAGAAAACATGTTTAATTCACCCAGACTTACAGCTGACTGGCTTTCAATCTTCCTCTCTACTGCACTGCCTATCACTTTCATAGTTAATATGTACACCAAGTGGATGATCCAGTAATTTGCTATCAATTCTGTGACCTTCTCCACTCTGATGACCATCATCTCCATGGTCTCCATCAGCCACAAATCAAACTCCGTGAGAAACAAACACCCACATCCAAATATCCTGAACTCTGAAGCTCTCTCCCTTCCTACAACCTCCTTCCACTTTTCCCTCCCCCTCAAACTTTCTGAATCTGTTCTTACCTCAACTATACCTTCACTACTCACCTCCACTATTCCAGTTGATTGGCCCCCTCTGGATTCCACTTGACTCCTTACCAGCCTGTATCTCACAGTCGAGTTTTTCAATCTTACATACATAGCATCCTGAATTTTGTCCTCTTTCCTTCCCAAACTGACCCCTTCTCATACCTGTCTGCCAATCACTACCTCTGCTAAAACCAACTGATATCTCCGTTTCTCCTCTCTGATTCCTGAGAATTGCTGATGAAAAGTCACTTACGTGATAAAGAAAGTACTAGGTGCTTAGAACATAGACATCTCAGTCTGAAACTTGGCTCTGCTATTATTAGCTGATAAAGTTTTGGCAAATTCTATAATCTCTCTGAACATGTCTCCTAGTCTGTAAAATGAGGTACATCAAGTCATTAGGATGCTTTCAGCTGTAACACAAAACCCAAAGGTAGCTTGTTGTCTTCCATAACAAGGTCACTAAAGGTCAGTTCCAGGGTTAATTCAGGGACTCAATGAGGTCATCAAGAACAGAGGATTTTTCCTCTCTACACATACACTCACCATCCTTAGCACTTTGGCTTGGGCCTTAGGTTTGTCTCTTCATGGTTTCAACAAGGCAACTGCAATTCCAGACATCACATACAGACACAGAGTCTCACTGAAGAAGAGTGTGTTTCTCCCTATGTGTTTCTCTGTATTCGTGAGGAAAACTTTTCCTGGAACCATTCTAGCAGAATTCTCATTGGCATGATCATATATCCATCCTTTAGTCAGTGGCAAAAGGAAATGACATTGCCATGATGGGCTTTTCCACCAATCAAAATTCACCTGCAGGAGCTACAGAGGGGTTGATCTTCTCTGAGCACACTGCCACCAGATAACTGAACAAAAAGAGCTGTGACAGAAAGAATACCTGTTGGGTAGGATACCAATGTCTGCCAGGTGGACAGTAATACCTACCCCAGTGGGTGGCTATGACTATACTGGGTTCATTTGCAAAGTACCTAGTGGTGCCTAGTACACAGTAGACATAACGGCTTCCAAATACATAAACAAATTCTTTGACATTGTATCTTTTAAAAGGTAGAGCTAATTCTACTATGCTTCAAAGTTAGCTGAATTTAGTGGCTTGGTTCTAACAAATAGAATCTGGCAGATAACTGCAAAAAACTTCTAATAGTAAGTCAAAAAAGGTATTGTTGTTTCTGTTTTGCTCACATGGATTACCTATTCAGCCACCTTGTTTTAAGGACACTCAAGCAGCCTTTGGAGAGACCTACATGGGGTCCTCTCCCCTGGATTTTGAGAACTTTAGACTTGGACTGAGAGAAAGCATCAGCTTCCCTGGCTCTGAGGCCTTCAGACTTGTACTGGGCCATGCTACTGGCTTCTCTGGTTCTCCAGCTTGCAGGCGGCCTGGAGTGGAACTTCTCAGCCTCCGTAATTGCAGGAACCAATTCTCCTAATAAATCCCCTATCTATCTCTTATTTATTCTGGAGAACCCTAATATATACACCAATAAGCTACATTAAATAATAATGTATATTACTTGCCATTGAGTAAAACCAATGCTCCTCAAATATATCCTAAGTTTATCTTGGACTTGGGTACTCCCTGGCAGATCTCTAAATACCTCAGTTGACATGCAATGCTTTTGAGACTAATGTCAAGCCATTTTATTTCTATACCTGGTTTGACAAGTACCATCAGTGTAGCAAATATGAACATTTGATCTTAATCCTTCAGCTCTGTTTCTTCTCCTTTGAGATGGAGTCTCTCTCTCTGACACCCAGGCTGGAGTGCAGTGGTGTGATCTCAGCTAACCACCACCTCTGACTCCCGGGTTCAAGCAATTCTTCTGCCTCAGCCTCTTGAGTAGCTAGGATTACAGGCAGGTGCCACCACACCTGCTAATTTTTGTATTTTTAGTAGAGACAGCGTTTCACCATGTTGGCCAAGCTGGTCTCAAACTCCTGACCTCAAGTGATCTGGCTGCCTTGGCCTCCCAAAGTGTTGGAATATACGTGTGAGCCATCACACCCAGCCCCAGCTCTACTTCTAATAAGCCTTTCTGTAAAGTGTAAAACAACATTTCCCAGATCTTTCTTAAAAGTAAAATTCTATATATGTTAGAATACATTAGTTTCTACCAATTAGATACAGTCCAATGAGATTTGGAAGGCAAAAGTAAGGTAGAGGCCATCTACCCACTGGTATAACTCATTCTGCTTAAAAGGCAAATGGTGGAGATGTCAGGTTTTCTACAACACTTTTCTGGTGCGTAGTTACCAGCTCTGAAAATGCTAAGAGATAGTTGTGGCAATAGTGCCATGGTGGCCTCCTGATTGATGACCTTTAAATTACAGCAGAGGTAGAAGCTACTATGCAGGTTAATTCTGCAGCATTCTGGAATTCATCCCCAAAGCCAGATCTAGAATCCACTTCTCCAGCTCTTCCACCAAATTTTTAAAAATGCTTTTTTCTTTTCGAGATGGAGTCTTGCTGTGTCACCCAGGCTAGAATACAATCTCAGCTCATGGCAACCTCTATCTTCTGGGTTCAAACGATTCTCCTGCCACAGCTTCCTGAGTAGCTGGGATTACAGGCACTCACCACCACGCCTGGCTAATTTTTGTTTTTTTAGTAGAGACAGAGTTCCACCATCTTGGCCAGGCTGGCCTTGAACTCCTGACCCTGTGATCCACCTGCCTCAGCCTCCCAAAGTGCTGGGATTACAGGCGTGATCCACCGCATCCGGCCTAAAAATGCTTTTTTACAGAGCTTTGCATATATTCAAAAGTAGACATTCTACTATAATAAACACCCATCTTTCCCAATTACAAACTTATGGACAATCTTGTTTCCTAAGTACCCCACACCCATTTCCTCCATTTTATTTTGAAGTAAATCACTGACATCGTATAATTTAAAATATGTATTTTAGCACATCTCTCTTTTTTAAAAAGAGATCCTTTTAAAAACACAGCCACATCATCCCTAAAAAACAATTGTTCTTTAATTATCGAGTCAATGTTCACATTGCCAACTGTTGTCTGACTGTCAACTAGTACCTAAAAAAGGTCTACAGATTGCAACTGGTATATGCTTTTTATGTCTCAATGCGTAAGTTCTCCCTCCACCTGTGTGGTTTTATTTTATCTGAAACTTAAAGAAACTGTGTTGTCAGTTTCCCAGTCTATCCTGGTAACTGTATCCCAATGGTGATGTCTGACGTATTCCTCTTTCCTCTGTAATCCCAAAATGGGTTGTTGGATCTGCAGCCTTGATCTGAACTAATTCTCCAAGATGAGGGTGGATTCTCCCTGAGAAAATTGCATTTGCGTTTGCCAGGCAGCTAATGACCAGGACCTCTACCAATTCAATTCTCCACTTTTTTTTTTTATAGAAACTACTCTAGGTGTTATGAATTTGGGCTGTTATTCTGCTAGGGCCTGTAATGATTTTAACTTGTCAGGATTGACTGATTTTTTGACCTCTTCTGCTCATGCCAAGACAATATTCCTTGCAGGCCTTCTGGGGGTGGGAAGGAGGGTGAAATTATTTTATTCATCCCCATCCCCACTGAGGACAAAGCTCTGTAGGGTGTTAGCTTTATGGAGTGTCTTCAAGTCTGCTGCCCTTTGTCATCTGTCCCTCCACCCCAAAACTGAGAACTGAAACTCAACATGAGTCAGGAGCAGAGGCACCGTTTGCAAAAGTGCGTCTAATATTTTCACTTAGATTTCTGACCTCAGCCCCTTTTATCCTAACAACTATGCAGTGTTTTTAGTAGTGTGTGTTTAATAATTTCATTCAGAATCTTTGTTTCCCCAACTCTCCCAGTCTGAATTTTCTAACTAAGAAATGTGTGTGAAATAAAGATGTTCCTGAACTTAAAATGGGGTCACTTATGTAATAAACTCACTATAAGTTGAAAATATTATAAGTGGAAAATGCATCCAATACCCCTAAGATACGGAACATCATAGTTTAGCCTAGCCTACCTTAAATGTGCTTAGAAAAATTAATGTTAGCGTGACTGATTCCACTGCCCATCACAGTAGAGTATCACACTGCAGATCACTAGCCCATCACTAGCACAAAATAAAAATCAACATTGAAACTTTGAAGGATGGTTTCTACTAAATGCATATGGCATTCACACCATCATAAAATTGAAAACTAAGTCAAACCATCCTAAGTGGGGGACATCTGTACTATATCCTATATTAAATAGGGCAGGCTGGTGCAGCAATCCAAAAACATGCTTGGACCAATGTACTTCCCACCATTAGCACTTATTAAGCTAGTCCATGTCATTTAGTTCTTTTCTATTTGAGGCTAGAACAGGATCATATAGAGCAAACCTCCCCGCATAAAATTCCCAAGCCAGGCGCAGTTGTTCACACCTCTAATCACAGCACTTTGGGAGGCCAAGGCAGGTGGATCATCTAAGGTCAGAAGTTCAAGACTAGCCTGGCCAACATGGTGAAACCCCATCTCTACTAAAAATACAAAAATGAGCTGGGCATGGTAGTGGGTGCCTGCAATCACAGCTACACAGGAGACTGTACCACTGTACTCCAGCCTGGGTGACAGAGTGAAAATCCATCTCCAAAAAAAACAAAAAACAAAAAACAAAAAACTGTGGTTTTCTTTCTTTGATTCCTAACACTCAGAAGTCATCAACAAAGATCTGTTGAAGGAATGTATCAAGAACTGATTTTCACATTATTTGCATATAATGATTAAAAAAATGATGTGGCAGAGACAGCTATTCATTCTTCTAATATCCATTCTCTTTCCTCCAAAAGAATATCAAATTGCAACAGAACATGGCAGTCTGAAAAAGATAATTTCCCAGCCTCCCTTGCAGCTAGACATGACATGAATAGCTTCTGGCCAATAGGCTGTAAGTAGAAGTATTCTATGGCAGCCTCCAAATATCATCTTTACGACCACTGGCATTTGCCTTTTGCTCCCTTTTTCTTTGTTTTTCCTCCAGTAGAATATAGATTTGAGAGTTAGAGATGCAGCCAGCCACCCTGGCCTAGGAAAATGAAGGCCATTATCTTGGATGTGGCAGAATGGTGAACTTTTCTAGAATCCCAAAAGCTTCATGAAAAAGAAGATTCCCACAGTCCTGGAGTTTATATCTCTGGGATTTTATAGGAAGAAAAAAATAAACTTTTTACCTTTGGCCACTAGTAATTTGGATTTTTCCAAAGTACCAGCTTTCATATAAAGAAAGAAAGCAGATTCATAGATGTCAGGTTTTCAAAAAAACATACTGTTGAGCCACAATTCTCTGGAGAGGACAGTGGAATATTATCTCTTTATAAGTAACTATTCTTTCTTAGCACAAATGCAGCTGCTCTACATTGGGAGTCAGAGAAGCTAGGTTCAAGTTATACTTTTGACACTAAACAGCAAACCAGTTAACTTCTCTATGTGGCTTTATTCATTAAATTGAGATAGCACTACCTATGTAATAAAATTCTCTTGAGATTTAAAATATAACATATACAAAAGTATCATAGTATAAGTCACTATACACATAGCAGTTGATAAGAATAATTATAACCCTGGATAAAAGCTCTATCACATTTACACTGTAACCCCAATAACAAGTGCTCTAAATGTTTGTTGGATAAATATGTTTAAGTCCTTGTGAAATGAGTGAATTATTCTGCTTTGGACTCAAATATAAAGTCCAAAGGTCATTAATAGTATTTAAAGCATTACTTGAGTCTCTAAGAGATTTTTTTTTTTGAGATGTAGTTTTGCTCTTTTTGCTCAGGCTGGAGTGCAATGGCGCGATCTCAGCTCACTGAAACCTCCGCCTCCTGAGTAGCTCGGATTACAGCATGCACTACCACACCCAGCTAATTCCTTATTTTCATTAGAGATAGGGTTTCTCCATGTTAGTCAGGCTGGTCTTAAACTCTTGCCCTCAGGTGGGTGGATCCCAAAGTGCTGGGATTACAAGCGTGAGCCACCACCCCGAGCCTTTTTTTTTGTTTTTCTTTCTTGAGAAGGAGTTTTGCTCTGTTGCCCAGGCTGGAGTTCAGTGGCACAATCTTGGCTCATTGTAACCTCCACCTCCCAGGCTCAAGCAATTCTTGTGCCTCAACCTCCCAAAAAGCTGGGATAACAGGTGTGAGCCACCAGCCTGGCCAATTTTTTTGTATTTTTTGTAGAGAGAGAGTTTCACCATGTTGGCCAGGCTGGTCTTAAACTCCTGACCTCAAGCAACCTGCCTGTCTCAGCCTCCCAAAGTGCTGGGATTACAAGCATGAGCTACCACACCTGGTCGCTAAGAGATATAATTCTTAATTTCTATGTTGGTCAAAAGATACAGGATGTGAAGAGACAAGCCATAGCCAATCCATTCATCAGGTTCAAAAGTGCTACAGAAAATAAACTAGAAGAAAAGTTGTGGTATAGAAATAAAATTTTTATGGCACTTTACCCTGAAATTACAAAGTTACACATAAAAATATTTAAACCACTAACCCTAATACACCAAATGAAGGATTTCCTCACACTGGACTGTGGCTAAAGTACTTTATTAAATTAAGCATGTAATTTGCAAATGGCTTCATAAGAAATTTTAAAAGCAAAGTTATAAAACATTTTCAATTTAAAAAGTACAGAGTTAACAGCAAAATCAGTTTCTTCACAGTACAAATAAAACATTTTTTTCTGATATACTGCCTGAAAATTTTATAATATATTCTCTGATAGCTACAATATTGTATTTTAATGAGAAGTCTCACAGTTAATTCATTTATTAATAGTAAGTTCATCATTTGACCATAAAAGTCAACTGCTCGACTTTAAGGAAAATAATGAACTTTGTCATCATATAATAGGAAGTTATAAAAGGCTCTTCAGGGTGTAGATGTGTTCTAGCCTTGTTTCTCTATTAAATTCTGTAAAGAAGCATTAAGTAACACTGTAAACTTGAATTACATTTTAAAAATAAGCACCGTTAACATACATTCTACATAAACTTACTTTACCTTTTAAATGACACTTTTTTGGCCACATAAACATTTAAATCTGTTTTCTTTACATGTAAATAAAAATAAGCAATATTTAACTACTACACTGAAAAATTACCAAACTTTACCTCATTGCACAATGGAAAAGCACTTGGAAAAAACAGCACGTTATTTTTGTCTTTTTTATACATATAGTCATTTTCTTAAATTGAGAGCAGTTAAAACATTGTCAGAGCAATTTCCTGAGTTTCAAAAGTTTCCAATTTTCAGCTCAGAAATAATCAATCTCGCTATTACACATGTCCACTTTCTAAGCATACAAAACCCTTTTATTCAAAAAGAAAAAGACCAAAATAAAGTATGGAAACCATCCAGAAGAGCAGTATAGCTTTTCTTCTCAGAATACAATACTCGAGATGCTTTAAAGTCAAATTTTCTACTATATAATATATCTTATATTTAAAAACCATAGAATTGCAAATAGTATGGAAATACTAACAAACTGAAGAAACTGCAACTTAAAAATAATGTAGAGAAATACGAAGAGCCAAAATATGAAAAAAAAAAAAAAGATTTCTATTTCTGACATTGGAATAAGAGATGGACAGACTGAAAACACTGTTTAGCATCAAGTGTCTCCCTGGTCCAACTGGACACCCTCTGGGGTTTCCATATTAGTTCTCTTTTTCCATCTGGCAGATAATGGTAAGAGACTACTGAATGAATATAATCATTACTGAAATCTTCCAAACTACAGAAGTGCTGTACTTTTAAAATACTAAGTTTACAAAGAACCATGCTAATGAGTCATGTATTGGCACAAATATACAGGCTGAGTGAGTATCTCCTACTTAAAATGCTTAGGAGCAGAAGTGTTTGGATTGCTGGGATTTGTGGGGAGATTTCAGAACATGTGCATCATATTTACTTATTGAGCATCGCTAACCTACAAATGTAAAATCCAAAAGGCTCCATGAGTATTTCCCTTGAGCATCATGTCTGTGCTCAAAAGCTTCAGATTTTGAAGCATTTCAGATTTTGAATTTTCTCATTAGGGATACTCAACCTGCACCAATACATGAAAATTTTTATAATATCCAAACTATCTTTGACATATAGGATTTAGAAATGGGTAACAGAGAAAACTTTTATAATCGCCAAACTATCTTTACCTCGAGCACACAGGATTTAGAAACGGTCAAAAAAAAGAAAGGAGGGATTATAAACTTTTATTTCATAATTATGTGTTGCTTAAACTATGCTAGATAGTGGGGTGGAAGGCAAGTTAGAATTAAGCAGCTTCATAAAAATACATATGATGCTCAAACTTTGCCTGTATATTTATCAACAAGGCTTAAGATATAAGATTTACCAAAATAAGGCATATTAACATCAATATAGTAAACAACGTAGCTTTTTACATTTGGTTTCTGCCCACAGAGTACCACGCCTCTACTTCTGACTGCTCCTTCATTAATCATAAGTATAATATTGAAATAAGTCTAGCTGAAGTGCCCAAAAGTTATGCTTTTTAAAACCAGGTAAGGAAATATAAAAATACAGAAAGTGAGTATGCAGTTGCACACATTCCAATAACTCCACATTTTAGCATTGTTTTTCATACTCTTACATTAATTTATACATAGAAATATCTCATTTCATTAACAATTATAGTTTACAGTAAGTTATCAAAAGGAACTGCTTTATTTTTAACATATAGAACTGTTCTAGATATTATAAAAGTGTGCTAAACTGTTGGTATTAAACAAATTATTATAAACATAGGTGTAATACTTCAATACCAGTCACCAACCAGTATTTATTATTTATTCTAAATAATAACATGCATTTTTATTTGTATGGAACTAAAATTCAATGATAATGCAATCATGATATATTTAAAAATGTTTTGGGGTTTTATTTTCATAGACATGATTGCTCTTTTGGAAAACCATTCTGGTACTTTAGGATTCTTTTGGTACAAGCTCAATCCTATAATTCCTGATCCAAAATCTTTAAGCTTAACAACTGTTTGTTAAACTTAAATATGTTAAAAATTTTCTTCATTTCCAAAGACAAATTTAAGCCATTGTCTCATATTCGAAAATTATACTTCACCACATTATAACCTCCTTTACACAGGTTTGACTTGCATACTAACAATTTATTAGCTAACCAAACAACATAAGTTAATGAAAACTTCCTTTGAGAAAGTTGGCTCTTTTTTGAAATAAAAGTGAAAATATTTTAAATTGTAAGGCTTCCTTTTATGATTTTTTTCTTTTCTTTTTTTTTTTGGAGACCGAGTCTTGCTCTGTCACCCAGGCTGGAGTGCAATGGTGCAATCTCAATCTTGAGGCACTGCAACCTCTGCCTCCCAGGTTCAAGCAATTCTCCTGACTCAGCCTCCCAAATAGCTGGGATTACATGTGCACGCCACCACACCCTACTAATTTTTGTATTTTTAGTAGAGATGGGGTTTCACCACATTGGCCAGGCTGGTCTTGAACTACTGACCTCAGGTGATCCACCCACCCTGGCCTCTGAAAGTGATGAGATTACAGGCATGAGCCACTGCACCTGGACAATTATAACCAAAATATTTTCTACATTTTTTAAAGTTAATATAATTTTAACCTACTGCAGTTTAAAAATTACATGCCTCAAAAACAAAATATAAGTATTTAGTACTGTCTGAAATACCACTTATATAGACAGTTCTAGAAGCATTTTGATAAGGCAGCAACATCTGTAAGATATTTAACCATTTCTTTGTCTCTGAAAACTTTTCTGTTTATATAAAGTATAAAATGGCAAAATAATCTCAGACCCAACTTTCTTCCCATAAAATGCACACAGAAGAACAGAACAAAAGGTAAAAGATCAAGATCATATACAAAGCAGAAGAAAGTGCAATAACATGTTTTCCTTCCTGTACGATATGGCAAAATAAAAGCATTTTACGTGTTTAGTTTTGAAATTAAAAAATATTCAAGTGTTTTTGTTAGATCTCCTTTTTTTCTTTACTGCCCACTACTATGTTCTTTTTCTTCTTTTAATACCAGACTTTGAGGGCATGACAGGTCTCAAAGCACTTTAAATACTTCTCACAAAAGACTTTTAGGACATTACTCAATGTCACACAACAATTAATACAAAGATAACCTTTTCTGAGAAATAATAGGGCACTTTAAACTTTAAAACTATAGCTGATAATTATCTTAGACATTTTGTAATCAAAATTTCTCTGTAATAGTTTTAACAGGCAATATATTTGCATTTGATTCATTTGATAAGAAAAAAAACACCTCTCTTGGATTTTGAAAAACATAGTAATTTTTTTGTTTCATACCCGAATATTATTTATAATAAAACACATGTTTAGGGTAGAATTGACTAAATTACTGCAAATAAAAGTAATTTTAACCTACAAACCTTTATACTTCTAATTCAAGGACGTTTATTTTACTTTAGCATGACTTTCAAGCACCCTGGTTTAATTTCAGAGAACCTGCAGAAATGAGAAAAGAGTTATTTTAAAGATAAAAATTTCAAATTAGCTAGGGAGTATACCTTGTAATCAATTCCAAGTACCTAAGCTTAACATAATATTTACTACAAAAGTATTAACCCTTATTAAGTCAATATCCAAGACCAACATCTATGTTTATGTTCATTTTATCTGTGGTCAAAACAAATATAATTTTAAAACTGGGGGTTGCTTCTGACTTAGCAGTTAGTATAACTTAAGATTTGTCAAAACCTGTAAAGCCTGAACTTTATTTTCATGAAAAAGAGTATGCTGTAGGAAGAATAAAGTCCTTGATGCATCATGAAACCACCATCAAGAAATCTCTGATAGAAAGTATAAATTTGCAGTATTAATCAAGTAAGTCTGACTAATCTGGCCATGTGATGCTTTCAATGCCATCTGTAGAGAATTTAAAGAAAGAATAGTCTCTAAAATAATTAATCTCAGCATGACTATGTTCCAGTCTAACTATCTCTTTTATAAAAATAATCTTGATATGTCACCTGTTTTATGCTCATAATTATGCTACCATTTTTGATAATGCAGCAAAATAATAACTTATTATGTGGCATAAAATAAATATGCTACACTGAAATTGGTAGGTAGGAGCTAATGATACACATTTGTGGGAAATCTATCCATCAACAGATTTTTCATCTTTGACTTTTTTGTCATTTTCTCTTATTCAATAATTATCACTTAATGTAAAAGAACATTTCATGTTTGTCTACACAGGTCATTATTGCATTTAACTTATGAAAACACAAATTCATATTAACTGGAACATTTTTGCTAAAGTTTAAACATAACCATATTATAACTATTATTTCAATAGAAGCCCCCAATTCCAGCCAAAATCGACAAATATTTATTTTCTTTCAAAAGAATAAGGGCAAATTTTAAAATATGTTATCTATTTTGCATAATACATTATCAAAAAAACACATATTTATTTTCTTTTAAAAATTTAAATTTATGATAGAAATTTTATTAGATGATTATTGGCAACAAACACATTTTTCCTTATTTCTGGTTTACCAGAAAACATAAATCGAGCAGAGAAAATTATATCATAATTCATCAACCTGTGGCTCAAATCAGATGATTAAATTTAGTTAACTTTTAACAGATAGTCTGAGCACACTTTTAGTGTTTATTTACCTAGCTATATTAGGACTGTTGCCATTATCAATAACAGAAATCTACACTTACAGAAATCTCTGATACAGATCTATATGGGCAGTTGTCATTATCAGTAACAGAAATCTAAACTCACCTGAAGCTATGGCTTATGAGGTGTTTAATGACAGCTGGTTTGATGCGAGCAACTCCTCCCTGACTGTGGTTTCCTCTCCCCGTAATCACAGACAAATAGGGCTTCCCACCATTCTGTTTAAATTCTGTTACAACAGAAATTGGGGGAGTTAAAATTAGTTTATCTTACATTCTCAATAGAAAACAAACCTTAGCTACTCAAACACACATCAAATTGTTTTCATGAGGATTTTGGGGTTTGCTTTCTCAAAACAGTAACAGTGAGACAGAATTCCTATCTCAAAAAGCCCCCAGAATAATGTCTTAAAATATATAGCCTCATTGTAATCTATTCATCAAAAGATTTAAGTGGGATTTTTTTCCTTTAGAGGGAAAGAGATTTCTGTGCACTACCAGAAGTTCTCCCTGAAATAATGATAATGGCAATAATAACATTAACAATACCTAACAATTATTATACACAAGGAGTCAAGTAGTGCTTTAAATGGCTTATATATATTAACTAAGAATCTTCACAACAACTCTGTTAATTAAATATTCTAAAGCCATCAAGCTTTGTTCTGAATCATAGTTCCGACACTAAACAACTGTGTGACTATGGACAATTACTTAGTTTCTCCTATGCCTATTTTCTCATCAGGAAAATGGGATAATACAACTACTTTATAAATTATCTTCCAGTCATAGCTATGAGCAAATACACTAATCACAGCATGGATTGCAGTCCTTCTGTTAAAGATAATCAATTGTTAACAAACTTTTCCTGATAGTTCTTAAAACATCAAAGGACTCTGAGCCTCCTAAAAGACTGAAGTTCCGTTTTGAAAATGACCTTGTGAAAATCAAGGATATAAATCCTGAAAACTAAAAAAAGCTGGAACAGAATAAGAACAACAAAGAAACTGTTAATGAGTTGAATTATTAAATTTCAAATATAAACATACACAATACAAACATTCCACGGTCTGCTTATTATGCTAATATTTCAATAGAATACAAATGCTTTTTCAAGTATCACATCCCCAAGATGTTGTTCAGCCTGGAATTTTAAAAGAATATGTTGCTCTTGACTACAAGCAATATGTTGTTCAAAATTCAACTGAGTGCTAGCTTCACAAGGGTATTCACAGTGCACAAAATTCTAGGTGTATAGTGCAAAACCTTTTTACAGATTTTTTTACATTTTTGCACTGTAACTTTGTGCACTGTTCTTTATATATGTTACATTATATACAAAAGTTTACTTTGGCCAGGTACAGTGGCTCACACCTGTAATCCCAGCACTCTGGGAGACTAAGGCAGGTGGACCACTTAAGCTCAGGAGTTCAAGACCAGCCTGGCAACATGGCAAAACCCCATCTTGACTAAAAATACAAAAATTATGTGGGGTGTGCCTGTAGTCCCAACTACTTGGGAGGCTGAGGTAGAAGGATGGCTTGTACCTGGGAGGTGGAGGCTGCAGTAAGCCAAGGTCATACCAACTGCATTCCAGCCCAGGCAACAGAGCCAGACTCCGTCTCAAAAAGAAAAAGTTTACTTACCAAAAAAAAATAATAATAACTAAATCTCTAACCATAATTCAGTCCCTTCACTATGGCTCCCCTTTTCACTTAGGCCAGTCGTTTATACCATATCACCTGTTAATAGTTCATTTATTGCTCTGAAAATATTCTCTAGTTCCTCAACTAAGAGTTCAAAGGATGTCTGCTGCATGAATTAATGTATATGTTTAGTTTCCCAAATACAGTCTATTCTTGTTAACACCTTTGAAAGAACGGTTTAGCTCATTTTTAAGCACACTCCAGATTTCTTATTTCAATTGCAAATATTTCGGTACATATAAAAGATAAGGACTCCTTTGAAAAGCGTAACTACAATGGCACCATCGTATCTTAAAAAATAAAAGTCCCGGGGGTTGGATCCAAGATGGCCGAGTAGGAGCAGCTCAGGATTGCAGCTCCCGGGGAAAGCGCAGAGGGTGAGTGGACACCACATCTCCAGACGGATTTTTATTGCCCACAGACCAGGAGATTCCCAGGTAAAGGAGCCCCACGGGGTGCCAGTGCGGCTGGTTTCACCAGTGGGCTGCTTTGCCGGCACCCTGGGGCAGCAGTTCTCTGTACAAAATACAAGGGTCTGCGCACCGTTTTAGCTGGCAATTGGAGCTCCGGGAAGGCAGAGTCACCCATTCATCTGATTAAAAAGGGGACTGAAACAGGGAGCCAGGCCAGGAGATTCCCGGGCAAAAAAATGCCACGAATCTCCGCGATGCTGTTTCGGCCAGCGCAGCGCATCACCACACAGGAAATCACATAGATCCTGGAGCCTTTTCAACAGGAGACTAGAACACCTAAGAGAGAGTAGACTGTTCAACTAAAAAAAAGGCTCTGAGGCAGGGAGCCAGGTGATCAGGCTCGGCTGGCCCCAGCCCCATAAAAAATCAGCAGTTATAAATGCTCTGGGTTGAGTTTCACAGCAAGCACAGCTGAACCTGGGAAGGTCCAGCTCTGTGGGGGAGGGGCGCCTGCCATTACCGAGGCAGTCCACCCCTACGGAGGTAGTTTGCCATTGCTGAGGCAGCCCACTGTTGCCGAGGCAACCCGCCATTACAGAGAGAGTCCGCCATTACAGAGGTGGGCTAGCTTTGCCAAGGCAGTTTTAACTACACTTGTATAAACAGGACTGCAGGGAAGTTCACATGGCAGCTGGGTGGAGCCCACAGGAGCTCAGCAAAGCCTCTACAGGCAGACAGTGACTAGGCTGCCTCCTCGCTGGGCAGGACAGCCCTGATAAAAAGGCAGCAGCACAACAGAAACTCATAAAGCCCTAACTACCCGGGACAGAGCACCTGGGAAAAAAAAGGGGGGGGAGGTGATGAGTTCTGCTGCAGCAGACTTAAACGTACCTGCCCAGCAGCTCTAAATAAACAACGGAGATCACAGCTCAGCACGTGAGCTCCTATAAAGGACAGACTGTCTCCTCAAGCAGCTCCCTGACCCTCGTATATCCAAAGAGTCACCTCATAAAGAAGAGCTCAGACTGACATTTGGTGGGCATCATTCTGGGACAAACATAGCAGAAGAAGAAACTGGCAGCAACCCTTACTGTTCTGCAGCTGCTGCAGGTGATCCCCAGGCAAGCAGGGCCTGGAGTGGACCTCAGCAGTCCTACAGCAGAGGGGCCAGATTGTTAGAAGGAAAACTAAGAAACAGAAGGAAATAACTTCATCATCAACAAACTGGATGTCCACTCAGAGATCCAATCTCAAAGTCAACAACTACAAAGACGACAGGTGGATAAATCCACAAAGATGGGAAGAAACCAGCACAAAAAGGATAAAGCCACCCAAAACCAAAAGGCCCCTCCTCCTACAAGGGATCACAACTCCTCACCAGCAAGGGAACAAGGCTGGATGGAGAATAAATGTGATGAATTAACAGAATCAGGCTTCAGAAGGTGGGTAATAAGAAACTTCTGTGAGCTAAAAGAACATGTTCTAACCCAATGCAAAGAAACTAAGAACCCTGAAAAAAGATTTGATGAAATGCTAACGAGAATAGACAACCTAGACAACTTAGAGAGGAATGTAAGTGAATTGATGGAGCTGAAAAACACAACACAAGAACTTCGCAAAGCATGCACAAGTTTCAACAGCCAAATTGACCAAGCAGATGAAAGGATATCAGAGGTCGAAGATCAACTCAATGAAATAAAATGAGAAGGCAAGATTAGAGAAAAAAGGGTAAAAAGGAATAAACAAAGTCTCCAAGAAACATGGGACTATGTAAAAAGACCTAATCTCCGTTTGATAGGTGTACCTGAATGTGACGGAGAGAATGAATCCAAGCTGGAAAATACTCTTCAGGATATCATCCAGGAAAACTTCCCCAACCTAGTAAGGCAGGCCAATATTCAAGTCTGGGAAATACAGAGAACACCACAAAGATATTCCTCAAGAAGAGCAACCCCAAGGCACATAATCATCAGATTCACCAGGGTTGAAATAAAGGAGAAAATGCTAAGGGGAGCCAGAGAGAAAGGTAGGATTACCCACAAAGGGAAGCCCATCAGACTCACAGCAGATCTCTCAGCAGAAACCCTACAAGACAGAAAAGAGTGGGGGCCAATATTCAACATCCTTAAAGAAAAGAACTTTCAGTCCAGAATTTCATATCCAGCCAAACTAAGCTTCATAAGTGAAGGAAAAATAAAATCCTTTGCGAACAAGCAAGTACTCAGAGATTTCGTCACCACCAGGCCTGCTTTACAAGAGCTGCTGAAAGAGGCACTACACATAGAAAGAACAACCAGTACTGGCCACTCCAAAAACATACCAAATGGTAAAGAGCATCAACACAATGAAGAAACTGCATCAACTAACGGGCAAAACAGCCAGCTAGCATCAAAATGGCAGGATCAAATTCACACATAACAATATTAACCCTAAATGTAACTGGGCTAAATGCCCCAATCAAGACACAGACTGGCAAACTGGATAAAAACCGAAACCCATCGGTGTGCTGTATCCAGAAAAACTCATCTCACATGCAAGGATACACAAAGGCTCAAAATAAAGGGATGGAGGAAGATTTACCAAGCAAACGGAGAGCAAAAAAAAGCAGGAGTTGCAATTCTCATCTCTGATAAGATAGACTTTAAACCAACAAAGATCAAAAGAGACAAAAAAGGACATTACATAATGGTAAAGGGATCAATGCAACCAGAAGAGCTAACGATCCTAAATATATATGCACCCAATACAGGAGGACCACCCAGATACATAAGGCAAGTTCTTAATGACTTACAAAGAGACTTAGACTCCCACATAATAATAGTGGGAAACTTTAACACCCCATTGTCAATATTAGACAAATCAACGAGACAGAAAATTAACAAGGATATCCAGGACTTGAACTCAGACCTGGAACAAGCAAACCTAATATACATTTACAGAACTCTCCACCCTAAATCCACAAAATATACATTCTTCTCAGCACCACATCAGATCTGCTCTAAAATTGACCACATAATTGGAAGTAAATCACTCCTCAGCAAATGCAAAGAACGGAAATCATAACAGGCTCTCAGACCGCAGTGCAATCAAGTTAGAACTCAGAATTCAGAA